AGCTCATTGGAGGGGGTCTCTGAGTATAGAGGTAGGGCCCCGGGTGTGGGTGTAGTGGCAGGGCTTGGGTTTTGTGTGGCAGGAGGGAGACTCCGAGGGCAGAGAATGAGGCCGGGGAGCCTAACAGGCTCCCTGGTGCCTAAGTGGACAGGGAAGGCACTGGCCCCGTTCCCTTTTGTTCCTTCGCACCCCTCCCTCACCGTCTCCCCTAGGGTCTCCCCTGTCCCCGCTGGACCCCTAACCGTGCGTGGGTCCCTCTGGGTGTAGGAACTCCTCCCCTCCCCCAGCCACCCCTCAGGGGTGCCCTCCAGGAGGTCCAGGCTTTACTTTTACTCCTCCCCTTCCCTCCCTCCCACTTCCTCAGGACCTGCACGGCTGGGGGATCCTCGGTGGGCAGAGGATCAGGCCCGGGATCTCAGCAGGTTCCTGGGGGCCCAAGTGGGCAGGGGAAACCTGGCCACGCTCCCTTTTGATCCTTTTCCCTCCCACTGGTTCCCCAATTTCCCGTTTCGGTCATGGGATCCCTTCCGCCCCCCTCCCCCCACAGCTGCCCCTCGGGGGCGCTGGTCCTGTTCCACCTCTGCTTCTCCTCCCCCTTCACTCCCCCCACGCCCCATGCCCTACCCCCTCGCTGGGGGTTCCTTCCATTCCCTTAGGTGTCCGTGGTCCCCCACGGTGCCTGGCAGGTGCCCTAGTTGTGAGGAGACGTGAGTTCCATGTCCTCCTAGTGTGCCATCTTGACTCCACCCCCTTGGTTATAATTATTTAAGTTGAAAAATTGTAAGACTTATTTAAGAAGGGTTAGTTTATAGGGAAACTTTACAAATAAGAATAAAAGTAACTTTAAAACCTAACTCTCATGCTGCATTTTTATAAGGAAAAATTTCTGACTTCTCCTTTGGGTCTTGCCTTTTTGAAAAATTAAAACTTAACACAGTGGCTTCATTACCTTGGCTAGTTATGTCAATGGAGAATAGCTATGCAGGATGGGAAAGTAAAATCACATTGAAGGACATACTCAGTTCAATATACAGCACCTATGCCTGCATGAGTAATGATATATCTCAAAATATTTTTGCAGCATATGTTATCAAATTATTCTTCAGTGTCACATGAATTACCCCCTTCTCTCTAAAAATGCACTTTCCCCCCCAAAAAAATGAGCATGGGAAATAGTCATCCTTCACTGGCATGGGTTTTGACAAGAGTTTTCATTATTATAGTCAACAAATATTTGTTGAGAACCTGTTCTGAGCTGGAAATACAGATGGAAAACTAATTATGTTTTTATTTTAACTGAATGATACTAAGCTAAACCCTGCTGGTAGATTGAGGGGCACAGAGAAGACATAGTAGGGGATGTACTGAAGCTCTCAGATTCCAAGGTCTGAATACATTCAGAATATTCAAGCTTTAACAGTACCACCTAAAGCAGCTACCCAAAATGCCTAATTCAACTCACAGCAACAAAAATTTATTAATTCCTCAAAAGAAAAAGTGAATGTTTTTTTGCCTGATGTTCATAAAGTTTCACAGTGGGTTTTTTGTTCGTTTTGTTCTGTTTTGATTTGTTTTATAGGTCAAGGAATGTGTTTGGGATTTTTCAGACAGAGTGGCAGTTCTCCAGTCTTTAATTCTCTGTTTTGAAATAAGAAAATTGCCTCCATATTACTATCAAACACGGAGCAAGATCATCTCTGTGTTGATAGAAATAGTTACTCAGCAAAGGTCACACCTGCCTGAAACCACTGTGCAGGTATCTGAAAGGGCACTCACTCGGGGCTGAGGAAGCCCCAGCGATCCTCCCATTAGCCAGATCATCAGCCTGCTCCCAGAGGGAGCTTTCTTCCTCGAAGAAACAGGCCTAATGTTTTCTAGTTGGAACACTTCACAGAGAGCCAGGGCTTCTGGCTTCTATTCCCAGCTGCACCATCAGATCATAGAATGACACGTCTCTGTGGTGATGTGGAGATGATTACCCTTGTGCAGGGAAGGGTTAGGATTCATGGTAAATGTTTACTGTGAGCATCTTGCCTGAAAGGTGTTGCATGCTCTTTGAGAGAGGAAGGTTACTGCATGATGTCATTGCTTCCAACATATGCTCAGATGTTAAAAAAAAAAAAGAAGGGAGGTTAACGAAAGCAATACTGTTGTCTTGGAGGGTGTTTCAGGGATTGTAGGAGGGATGCACAGATAAGTAGGTGGCAAGTTGTTTTCCTACCATAAAGCACAACTTTTGCATCATGTCACTCTGACAAGTGGAATTTAAAAAATATTTCCAGCAAGGTGAACACTGGAAATGTTTGATGAAAGAACATAGGGAAGTGACTGGGGACCAGGAAATATGGACTTGATTTGAACCTTTGGATGAAAATCCTCTTTTCTGGTTTGTTTTCATGACTTGTAATATTATAGTGATGACATTTGCATTCTCCAGCTCAGGATTAGCTAGAGAGGAAGTAAGGGCTCAACTGCTTTAGTGAGCACATAAACCATGACCTCTCCTGGAAGATAATTGTAATTAAGGGATAGTAAACCCTCAGTCTATCTTCTTCTCAACATGGGTAACAGAATTATACACAATTGTGACATTTGCCTGAATACGAAGAGGAAATTTTTCTTCATCCTCTGCATTCTGGTTTTGGGTTGAAAGAAATCATAATTCTCACATGGTGATGTCAGATCCATTCCCACAACAGAGATTAGACAATACCACAAACACAGATTTATGGTTTCATAGGAGAAGTCTCCTGTTTTCAAACATTTATCTTTAACAATAGGCTACTGGCAGGGAGGGAAGGCCACCAGTTGCATATGAAAGGTATGGTATTCTGTTGTCAGTGATGAACACAGACACTGGTTGCTTCTGCTTCCACTCATGACCCCCATTTCTCCAGCATATTTAACATCAGCCATTATAGATTTAGCACACAGAAGATCAGTGGCATCACAGCTCATTTATGTAAGAGAATTATCAAACGTTCATCACTGTCAACAGTAAAAATATGATAAAATACCTTCTGTTTCTATCAAGGTAATTTCTATTTTCAAGGACTAAAGGAATCTTTTAAAAAATATTCAGTAGTTGAGGAAGCTGAAAGAAAACATTACTTCACTTTCCTCCTCTCTAAAAAGATGACAACTAAAACACCAAAACTTCTTCTAGGTTTAAAATTATTCCATTTTACAATTTTTTAACTTGCTAAAAGTTTCAGATTCTCTAATAGTATCATGATGCTGCACTTAGTAATTTCAGAATAATTACTTAAAAAAAAAACTACTGCCCCCATCTCAGCATTTTATGGCCATTTATTGCTTTTTCCTTTGTTTCTTTAAATACTGTCTTGTTCCAGAAAAGACTTAAGGGGATTTGTAAGTATGTTCACAGTATAGTAAGATGAAATAAATATGTGATAAAAGTAAGGCAAAGAAAAACTAAGGGATGCAGTTAGAGTGAGGATAGTGTTAACACTTACATAAAGTTCACTCCATTTCCCAGAGATGAGTGATTTGGATCTCCACTTTCCAAAACCCAAATGAAATGGGGAAATAGTGCCAATTATAGATTTTATTTTCCCTAAAGCAGTAGTTCTCAAAATGTCATCTGAGTACACCTAAGTGTCCCTTAGATCCTTCAGGGGCTGCAAAGTGAAATTATTTTCATAATAAAACAAAAACATTATTTGCCTTTTCTATCTTATTCTCTCTTGATCACATGGTGGAATTTTTTCCAAAGACCACATGACCATCATTCTGATGGTGCCATTACTTTTAAGGCTAATGGAATGTGTGCTTGTATATGCTTGCATTTTTAAATTTTTTGTTTCAATTCCTAATGTGGTAGATATTCATAGATACATTCCACATAAACAAAAGCACTTTGGGGGCCTCTATCATTTTTAAGAGTGTGAAAGAGTCCTCTTCTAAAATATGAACAACTTTGTTTCTTTTCACTTTCCTTATATTAAAACGTGAAAATTGTCATTCACAGAAATTTAATATTAGTTATTCTATCTGATCATGGGCAAATGAATAACTGAGCCATGGCTCAGCGGCCATGGCTCACGGGTCCAGCCACTACGCGGCATGTGGGATCTTCCCGGACCGGGGCACGAACCTGTGTCCCCTGCATCGGCAGGCGGACTCTCAACCACTGCGCCACCAGGGAAGCCCTGGCCTCTTACTTTGAGGGTATTGGTCAAAGCTCCTTTGAGGAACTGATGAAAGCCATGAACCCTCTCAACTAAATACAACAACAGAAACACAGAATTTTAATGTCTTCAAATTGCTTTAAAATACAGTTTTAAGGTAAATTTGGGTAATAAGATACAGAGAAGCTTAATGAATAGTGGTTCCTTTTTATCCTCTCTCTTGTCATCTTTGTTTCTCCCCAGAGTATAAATTAAGGTAAAGTATTTCTAGTTATACTGTAACTCATTCTACACCAGAAAGGAATATTGTTTCTGGTCATGTTGATGAATGGAAGGTTTTATAAGCTCAGCTTTCCTTCCTTAGATCCTAAAGATAATAACCTCAACTACATAGCATAAATCTATTTCCTTGGAATATTCTGATGATCTCAAAAATAGAAATGCTGAAATCTCATAGATTTAAAAAACTTGGCTACATGCAGCTAGGTGAGCTGATATAGGACTGTACAGAGTCTCATTAGGACTGTTTACTTCCAACTACAGCTTCTGAATTTGCTAGCATGTATTTATTGAGTGCCTCCCATAATATAGACCTGGGCACTATAGGGACTGTTTTAGTACAGTATGACATTTGGCTGAGACTCAACTAATGCATAAGATGTAATTCATTTATGAATAGACATTTTTTTTTATGTGGCAGATAGTGTAACATGATCAAGCAGAATGGTTAAAAAGAATGTTTCTAAATTCAGAAATCTTGGTGGGTGATAACATTTATTGGCTGTATGACTTGAGCAAATACTTTAATCTGGTCTGTTGAACTGGCATAAAGAGCGTTCCTGATACATAGAGTTATTGTGAGAATTAAATTTAGTAATGCATATAAAGTACAGAGGAGTGTGTGTCATATAACAAGTGCTCAATAAATGTTATTACAGAAAGTGCTGTGCGATGTGATGCAATGAAAAATGCAATATGAATTTGGAGAAGGAAAGGATCACCAGAGGTCAGAAGGGTCTAAGGGAGAGTTCATGAAAGAGGTAAGACTTCAGCTGTGGGGCTACTAAGTGGAGTGGGGAGTTATAAAGTTCTTGGTGCACCATAAATTTAAAATCTAATGGAGGAGAGAGGATCAGCCCCAATACGTATAAGCACAAGTGTCAGAAACATGGAAAGAATGCTTAGGTCTCTAGAGATATACATAGAAGTGCTAAAACACAGGCAAGTGAAAAGGATAAAGAGTGGGTGTGAGTTATTAAAATGACTGGAATACAGCTAAGTATATTGCACCACTTATGGGACCATACTATTCCATTCATCCCTCCCAAATTAAATTTCACTTTTCTCGGAGGAATCTTTTGTGGTTAATGGTTCCAAAGGGAGGAGTTATCTTTTATTTTATTTATTTCTGAGCAAACACACCTATACACACACAAAATACACACACATGCACACCCACACCACAAAAACGAAGCACCAGAACTCTATGTGCCTTTTAGACATTTATACTTTTTGTCTCTTCATTCAACAAATTTTAAAAAATATGGAAGGAATTTTGGAAAAGGCTCACAAGTACCTGTTAATGGGAACAGATATTTCTATAGAAAATTTTCAAGGCTATTCTAAAGTAATGGCTTTGCCGATTTTTTTAATGGTCATGATGTATCCTGGCTTTGTTAGTACACTTTTCCTGATTAAGAGCCCCCATTACTCTAATTAAAATAACACCATCTGGTTTTAATACTGCACAGTAACTCTTCTACTCCTTAATCCCAGGGCTGAAACAACATTCAGTCTGGACCAAGCAGAGGTTATGCGGTATTAGTTTACTTGCTGTTATAATTTATGGATTTGTTGGTGGAGGATCCTGAGAGATAGTGGTGCTGGAGATTTTTAAAAGTAGGTAGAGGATCCAGAAGAAAGAACAACATACTAGAGTTGTGTGCATACATGCTAGATTCTCCTTTCAAAATGGATACTTCAGGTTCTAGAGAGAAGACCTTTTTGAAGAGAGAGCATTGAATGGACCTCTATGAAGTAAGGCAGCAAGCCATGTGAACTTCAGGTGCGAGTGTGGCTATGGAAACTACACTAGGCAAAAGGACTGAAGGAATGGTGGGTTTGATGAGAACAACCTTGGTGCGTTCAAGGAATCGGAAAAAAAAATAAGCTTGGCTGGAGTGGAGTGCGAGAAGGGGAGAGAGATGGGAGACAAGGTCAAGAAGATAGGCAGAGGCCAGACCATGTTGGATTTAGAGGCTCTTCTGAGGGTAATGAGAGACTGGAGTATTTGTAGCAGAGAAATGTGTGATATTTCATTTTTTTTCTAAATATACAACAAGAAAAGATCCCAAGCTCAATTAAAAAAATAGCAACTGATACGCAGATGTGGGAGTGGTGGGAATTGAAAAGAGTAAGACTCCAGCTCCCCTAGGCTCTAATCAATTGCTGCTAGGCAGAAAGGCAGGCCCAGCATTTTCTTATAGTTCAGGGTGTTTATGCTTTGTTTTGTTTTTCAGGAGAATCTAGAAGTCCAGATTTTTTTGGCGGGGAGGGCGGTGGGTGGAGATAATGTAGTTTTTATTTTATACTACTATTGCTTTAATATTTTTACACAAAAAATTACTTGTAAAGGCACAGCGTATGAATAATGAATACTCCTTTTACATACCATTAGCAATTAGGTTTTCAGATAAGTTAGCTGTCATATTGAAAAGAGCACAGATATCAGATTATGGGATGCTAAGTAGATAAGAATAAATGCTGGACACATCTTCAAAAAACATTAGTGATTCAGTGGGTTGTCCTGGAAACATAAGGAGTAACAGAGTGAAAGAGGAAGGAAACAACCCTAACCAACAAGGACCTGCTGTATAGCACAGGGAACTCTGCTCAGTATTTTGTAATAACCTAAATGGGAAAATAACCTAAAAAAAAATAGATTCATGTATATGTATAACTGAATCACTTTGCTGTACGCCTGAAACTAACACAACATTGTTAATCAATTATACCACAATATAAAATTTTACAAAGGTATGTTTAATTAAAAAGTCAAGCTGTATCACATGTAGATGGAGTGAGAATTCTGAAAAAAGTTTTTTAAAAATTAAATTTATGGGGGCTTCCCTGGTGGCGCAGTGGTTGAGAGTCTGCCTGCCGATGTAGGGCACACGGGTTCGTGCCCTGGTCCGGGAAGATCCCACATGCCACGGAGCGGCTAGGCCCGTGAGCCATGGCCGCTGAGCCTGCGCGTCCAGAGCCTGTGCTCAGCAATGGGAGAGGCCCGCGTACCGCAAAAAAAAAAAAAAAATTAAATTTATGTATAATGTGCTAGAAGTCCAGGTCTTTATGTAAAAACTTTCTATTTTCTAAATGCTAGCAAATAATACACATTTTCCTAAAATCAGTATACAAGCCAGTGTGCTAGGTACAAGTGGTTAGTAGACAACAGTAAACAAACTTGGAAGCCAAATGAAGCCCTGGCCTTGATGATTCACCATCTTTATGATGTTACTTCTTGGCTTTAATAGACTATGAGGGAGAACAGTGAAAAGGAAAAGCAGATTAACATTTAGACCTAGGTCAGGTGTCAGTCAGGGTCCTGGCAGGAAGCAGGTGGCAGACAGAGACAGGTCATTGAGTAGAGATTGATGAAGTACTATTTATAATAGTGTGGGCAGTGTTAGGAAAAAGCAACAAGGAATGTTAATGTGCTCAGGGCTAGGATCAGCATGAGTTAACATCGCTATGCCTGAAGGAGTCGTTCTTGAAACCTGGAGAGGAGTTAGGAAAAGGGTGCTCATCCCTGCCTGTGGCTTTTGGTTGAGGAATACAACCACTACCAGACTCTGCCACGTCAGGGCAAGAGCCAAGAGGAGATATATGAGCCTTCTAGTCTCATTCCCAGACCTTCCTCAGGTGTCTCCCAATGGCCAAACCCAGAAAGGAGCTAGAGATTTAGGGAGCCCACTGACTGCAGTTGATGTTGGTCAATCTTGTGGGACACAGGAGGACCAAGACCATCTAGCACAGTCAGGCACTTCTTTGAAAAAGTGATTTCAAGTACTTTACAACCTTTGATAATTATATCAATCCAATAAGCAATAAAGAGCTTGCCAGCTTAAGATATTTTTGAAGTTGTGGCTTCTTTGAAGACTAGCAAATTGTGGTCATTATACACAGTCTTTTATTACCTGACCCTGATTCTTCAAGTTTTTGCTTTTATTCGAGGAAAGAAATGCTTCTCAAGAGTAAGCATTTCATATTCTGGTGAAAATTACTCATCCAGCCCAGGGTTTTTAAGAAAACAAAATCTGAATTCACAGTCAGCCTTACTTTCCTATTTAAGGAGCCAAACTTAATGAATGAATGAATGAATGGAGGGAGGGAGGGAGGGAGGGAGTGAAGGCAGGCATCTGTGAAGCACTGTTTATAATACAAGAAATCACCATTCTCCCAGAAGCTGTTAAATTCTCTAGGCCACACTAGGCAAAGAAACAAAAAACTGTAGTAATATTTTAAAAGAATACATAAAAGAACTTGGCCCACAAGTAAAGCACAGGTGTCAAGTCAAAGCGTATTGGACATAGTTTGGGCAGATCACCTTCACTTCCTCTGGCCCCCAACCCAGTGACGTTGGCAGGTCATTTGGTTCAGTTTGTATTTCCATTTCCCTGACAGATGATTGGACCTTCTTTGAATATATGCAGTCAAAGACTGATTAACACATTTGTATCATGTTTAGTAATTCTGTATATTATCTAAATAGAGATAATGTTTTGGTATAAGGGAAATAGAGTATAAGCTCAGTGGAATCTTAAACTGAGTTTTTTACAAAATAGCAATATGTTCAAAGAAGTGATGATTAATTTTCTGATATGAATTATGTTTCACAGCAGAATGTGAGGTGAGGTGGGATGGAGATTCAATCACTATTTTAATGTGTTAGTCATACCAAAGCTAATTTCAGCCATATATTCTCCAAATCCTGCTTTGAAAAATCCCATTCCTGCTTTCCATTCTTATGGTGAAATTTTGAACATTTAAATTACCTTTCAGTTGTCCACCTATCAAATGATAGGTCATTTATTTGTAAACTTTATAAACTGTTACATAGCCATAAGCTGTTCTTGGTGACATTGTCCAAAATACTAGACAGATTTGTCCCCTGAAGAGAAGTCAGTGGGAAGGAATATCTGCTGGGGAGAAAATGATATATTCTCCAATTAGCCCAAATTCCAGCACTGACTACTATGATTTCAGGGGACATAAGTAAGCTGCTTTAGGAAGTACCCAGCAAATCTTGGAGTGAAGAAATGGTTATGAAAGATATCCTTTAGCATCAGCGCTGATACTTAAGAGCTCTGTGACAGTAGGCAAGCCACAGAAGCCCCCATAATCCTGAAGGGGTCATTATTTCCAAATGGAGGCAGCGTAGGCTCATTGATAAGGGTGCAGATCTGGCATCAGAGAGCCAGAGTCTCAAATCTTGGTTCCACCCCTCTTTGCTGTAGAGTGGTTGCACACTACAACCACTGTGACGATGGAGACACATCACTAATCCAGAGCCTGATCCATACTCAACATTCAGAAGAGACCGGAGTTGCAAGCATATTGCAAGGAATCAAGCGTAGTAACACATGTGATGACATTTCTGAAGCAAAGTAAGAAGTGCTACGTAAATAATAACGATTTTTATCATCACTATCGCTTATGTTTCCTATGGGAGAATCCTTGTGAACACTCTTCTTTGCCAATTGACGATGAGATAATAGCTTGATTCTCAGTAAGATGACCCGAAGCATGAGAAAGGAATGTTGGACTAGCACAATGTTCTTTTTGGGTAGTCTCTTCAAATCATTGTTTTTTCTGTGAAGGCCCCACCCATAACAGCCAGTTTTCACCCAGTCAGTCCTTCTCTTCAGGTGCTCCTTTGACTTATTTCAAGGCTACCAAAACAAAAGTTTTTCCAAGGAAAGTGCACATATCTCCTGCTCCCTGAACATTTTCTTGAATTGCCTCTGCCTGTCTCTTTCTT